TAAGGGTACAATCAGGGGTTGTCAGCCAGAGAGCTCAATACCTCTGAGTCAAAGAATATACCTCCAATCTTTTAGGGCCCAAAGCCTCTGTGCCCCACAATCCGTCAACCCCAAAATCCGGAAAGCCTTCTCTGAATGCCCGTGGAGGCACGGAGATCTCCTCCGCACCACCTCGCTTCAACAAGTATGCGGGCTGGGCAGAGTGGGAGCAGATCGGCAGCAAATCTTGCGGAAGTGACACCCCAGAGAGCCCAATACCCTTCAATGAAGAAAGGCAGATTAAATATTTTAGTGGCCTTAATATTACGGTGCCAGGGATATGTCTTGGGCTCTCTGTGCCTCGAAGAAGTGACACTTCCTGTGAGGGCAGCTATGGTGTTTTCATCGGTGGGCTTGTGTCCCTTTAAACCTCGACGCCAGACCCTACTGGAGGGTCGGGGGACTTAGTAAGTAGGTAGTAAGTAGACTTATAAATACCCTAAAAGGGACCCTAATTGGGGTTATGGCACCTATAAGTCCCTAAGATAACCAGTTACTAAGTCCCCCGACCCTCCAAGTAAGGACCATGCCTACTTGGAGCTTCATGAGTAATTATTAGTGCGGTTCTCAGTAGGGTAACTAAAACAAGAACCCATATTAGAGGCCTTATAACCCAGGTGTTACTACCCGTGAGCCTGCAAGTAAGCCCAGCCGAGTCAGACTGTCCCCTCTTCCGAATTACCTCTGCGAAGCTTGTCTTCACTCCCCGGAAAGATAACCCAGAGAGCCCAATACCCCTTGATTAAGGAATATGCCCTAAGTTATAGGGTCCTGAATACTGTAAGGGGTCCCTTGCGCTCTATGGGTTGAAGCTGAGGAACGCCATCTTCCTGCATCTCGGCTGAAACACGGTACCCAGAGCCTCCAAAATCCCTTAATTAAGGAATATACCTTAAATCATATTAGGGCTCCTATTATAATTTAAGGTATATTCCTTAATTAAGGGGTTTTGGAGTCTCTGGGTAGATACGATCGCAACGACGCTGAACCCGGAGATCCACGAGGAAGACCGAAAGGGGTCTACAAGGGTGGTTGTCAAAATTAGGGTCCCGTTTTTGGGAGCCCTAAATATTAGGTGCCGTATTATAATAGGGACCCAAAAAGGGACCATAATTTTGACAACTACCTATAAGGGTTTCTATAAGTTGAAGCTCTTATGACTCTAGCTACGTGCCTCAACAGCAGGTAGCTGGCACAGTTCAGGTGGGTCAATGCAGTGGGTGGCAGCTTTGAGAACACCTTCCGCAATGGAGGCCCCGGTGAAGGGACATATCTGCCTTTAAATCTTGTTCGAAAGCCTTCCTGCTGAGCATCATAGCAACAACAAGATTATTAAGAAGACTTATATAGGCCTATATAATTACCAATACTATTTTGGTGGTTCCTTATTATAGTTATAGCATAATGGGCCCAAAACAGTATTCGAATTATAAAGGCCCCTATATTTCTCAGAAAACACTAAGACGAGTACGAACGCGATTGCAGGCTTCAGTCTCCCACTGTGTTGATGTTCGAAGAAGAGCTGCAACCCCAAGCTTTTGGCCTTCGCTCCAGCAGTGATCCACTGTTCATCTTGATGCAACACTGCGACCCCTCAATTCCCTTCAAGCATGGGGAGGTTTGCAACGTAGAGAGAAGGAGCGGCTATTGGTAGTGCTGATAATGGAGTCCTCGGGCCCCATGCCGCGGAGGATCCCAGGTTTCGTGGTACGTCGGCGGCCAGAAGCCCTCCGAGAAGTCACCCATCGTCAAGAGACTTTCTTAAAAGGGGGAAGGGGAGAGAAGCCTAATATAGGGGCCCGAATAATTACCAATACTATTCTAGGGGTTCCTTATTATAGTATACTGGGCCCCAGAACCCTATTAAGGCCCCTGTATTAGAGAGGTTCTATGCTAGGCTCGCTGTGGGCAAAGACAGTTCTGTCACCTCGCTGCCCTTCTTCCATGAATCGGCACGTAAACCAAGGAGACTCCTGTCAAAGGCCCGGGGTGAGACGGAGCAGAAGAAGACGTTCCTCGGCAGCTATCTCTGTTCATCCCTCTGCTGATCTTTAGAAGGGTATGGGGTAGTCACATAGAGACGGATATACATGCATGCTGACATACAAAGATATCCATATATACATTCATACCGTAGTACGCATACTCATATGTATGTGTATATATACAGATATGCATATATATATATATGTATGTATATGTACGTATGCCATTGTTAATTTCACCCTACTGACATGCATTACAACTTACATGACAATACGATGAGCTACCTGCTCTGCACACAGACCAACTCAGACCCGAGTGGCCTTTGCCTTAGAGATGAAAGGTTCAGAAGTTTTCGAGTGAGGTTTTGCAGGATTGAGGGTGTTTGGATAAAGGGTTGGGGCAGGGTTGGCTAAGAAAGATACGGTAGAAATGGCGGCAAAACATCCATAAACAACAGTGACTGCTGAGGAAGATCATCCTCTTTGTTCGGCCACGGGCTACCGAGCCCTATGTCGTTTGTGGGCCCTGTGCTTACGCCGCTCTGCTGTGGTAAGGTTGCTCGTGAGGAGGTTCGGGCTTCTGCAGACGTAGTGCTAACTGTTTCTGGCAGGGTCCGAGAAAGCTTGACATTTGTTCAACGTTCTCTTTACCTGACTAAGCTCATCTTCCAGCCCAGCCCAAAGAGTGCGATCTGACATGTTTCCCTGTCAGAGAAGCACATGTCACGGGATCGGAATCGAAGGCTTCCACTCCTGAAAAAGTGTGAGGTACATGAGAGGGCTCCAACAGCTTGGCAGGTAGCTCACAATGCCCGGAAGAAGGGCTTCGAGTTCACCTGGAAGCTGCAGGAGTTCGAGTCGCTGAAGATGCTTCAAGTGCAGTTATTACTCGAAGAGACTGGGGTGGTGTCCCTGTGCTTCTCAATCCATGACGTGCTCCATCGTAGTTGAAACCTGCCGCGGACGGACTGCGGCAGGAAAGGGGCCTAAATGATTGAAAATACTAACTTTAACACTAGTACTATTCCTAATGCTCAGACTACTATGAATTTGAGTTAGAATATTAGTAGATATAGATGTGTATATATATATATATGCATATATATATATATATATGTATACATATATATATATATATATATATATGCATATATATATATATATACATGAATATGATTTTGGGCCTATGAACACTATTTTGGCCCCTGCGCTATACCTCCACAGCCCACCTAGTTCGCCTCCCAACTGCAGCATCCGTAGAAAAATGCGCGGGAAGCTGGGCTGTTGTTCAGGATCTTAAGTTACTAGGATATATACGGGTTCCTTTAAGCGCCTAGGGATACATTTATGCTACCACAATAGGGATCTACAATAAACAATATGGCTTCCTTGTCATGGTAACTTAAGCTAAATCCCTTACGAACCCAGAGTTCCTGTCTCCAGAGGTGGGCTGCGTTCTTCCGTTTTGGGGGTATATCCCTACATCTGCCAAGACAATCCCAGTATTTTCGAACACCGACTTCCTGCTGATAAGTTGAAGCAAAGTGTACAGAGTGGTTATGTTATGAGTGGTTTGTTTTGGCAGTGCAGCATATCGCAAGCCCCATCCATCACAGACTCCGACAATTCGCCGTGATTGATCTGAGGAACTGCGCCGACTTCAATCAGAAGCTTGACTGTCGCAGTACTGTGGTGACTTAAACCCCTACTATACTCGCCTAAACAGTTACCAATACCATTTGGGGGTTCCTTATTATAACTATAGTGTAATGGCCCCAAAACCTATTCTATAATTAAGGCCCCTAAAAAAGAATCCTTATAGTATCCCTTATAGTAACCCCGTTAAAGGAACCCTATGAAACCCTATTCAAACTTTTCAGGCCCCAAGACTCACTATTCAGGATCCCGCTGTGGTGTCAGTTGGCGCGGGGCTGTAGCTCAGCAAAAAAGGCAGGAAACTTGGGGTCTTCGGTCTCGCGAATCGGGTCCTCTATTCTGGATTGCGCGAGCCTACTTGTAAGGAGTTGTGGGCGATGCGCATCGGTCCCCTCCGAGCCTATGAGAATCCTGTTTCGTCTCTTCTGGGGTTTATGCGACATGTTGATGTCCAGCAACCTCTGCCAAGGCTCATGAACGTGGCCAAGCGGGGAGGCTGGCACACGGAAAAGAACTGCAATGCTAGGTGACAGACTGGATTTCATAGTGTTGCTTCCGCATGTACCTTGACTGATGACCCTCCCCATTCGGATGACCTGCGCAGGGCACGGAAATGTCAGGGTTCTGAGGAACCAACAGTTGCAGTTGGGTTACACAGTCATTCGATTCTTGTGTCAAGGCTCTTCAAGCACAGCATCAGCAGCCGCCAAATGGGCCTGAGTGAAAGCCGTTGCTGGCTGGGATGTCGTTCCGTTTCATGATCTACAAACGCAGGCCAGTTATGTTTAAAGATCCGCTTGTGGCTGACCTACCGCAGACACTGGTCTTGTTCCCAGCATGAGACTTTTACACATTGCAGGACAGCTCAAGGGTTCGCGTCACTGGCAGGGGTTGTCCAAGTGGCTTCTGCACTAGCCCCGAAGCAATCAGCGTGCAAGCATGGCTGCTACTAGGGGCCAAATGCCGCAAATGCCGCAAACACCTTAGAAGAGACATTCTGGGCTGGTGTGGACCCTCCTCGGTGCCGCTCAGTGCGCGATTGAACCGTCTCGCTGGGAGAAAAGGCCCGGCTGGACGTGGCTACGTCGCAGCTTTTGGCTCAAATTCCCGAGCTTAGCCAGCGGTCTGAGTGAGTGCAGGGAGCCCTTGTTCAAAACGAGCCCTTGAAGCAAAGAAAACCGTCTTACAATGGTAGTTCCGAGCTGAAGGTCAGGATATTCGTTGGAATTACGCTCACTCTGGACTCGCAATTAGGGGAGTCGTTTCTCCAAACCCCTGTGGCCACTGGGGTAGGTCCCTTAGAAGTCCAATGCTACGCAGGCGACCGTCATGCAGCTGGCTCGCCCTTTCCTGGAAGAGCCACATCCCTCAGGAAGGGTTCGCCTCGGGAGTTTACTTGGAGGGTCGGGGGACTTAGTAACTGGTTCTTCTAGGGACTTATAAGTACCATAACCCCAATTAGGGTCCCTTTTAGGGTCCTTATAAGTCTACTTACTACCTACTTACTAAGTCCTCCGACCCTCCATGTAGGGGTTTAGGGATGGTTTAGGGTGTAGGAGTTTCGCAGCAACAGCAGGGGCCGTAGGGTCCCGTAATCTCTAGGAACAAAGCAGCTTCCCGTGCAACGGGGAGCAGAAGCCTTCAGGGGGTTCAGCCTCACCACCACCACGACTCTTCGTCGTCGTGTGTCTATTCAAGTTGGCTTTACATGTATAACATATGTGTATAAACAGATATATATATATATATATATATATATTTATATTTATATATATACATATATATATATGTATATGTACATGTATATATATATATATATAGATATATATTATGTTACGTAGTAGATTCTATTCTGTTATATTGCTGATATGAGAGGGTCAGGAAAGCCCTGGGAGTCGGAGTTCCTGGAGGGCCGGAGAGCTTCTGCAGCTTCCTAAAGGCCCAGAGACCGCTGCGGTTTCGTTCAGAACCTTCTTAAACGAATTAAAGTGATTCAGTTTTTAAGACAAATCAAATCAATCAAGAAATTGAAATTAATCAAAAACGTATATTAGTCGAATCAACAAACTGGGCCTTGAACCAAAACACCAACTTCGGCCAAGGTGGCGCTCGAGGTGCGACGGGTCTTCAGCTTCCGGAATTACTTGGGGGTCGCTCCGGATTTCGCCGAGGAGTCTTCGGTTTAGGGTTTAGGGTTTAACCCCAGGAACCCACAAACCCCAGAAGCCCATAACCCGAAGCCCTCAACTCCCACAACCCTCGAGGAGCTAGAAAGCCGGAACACAACTCAACGCCGCCCGTGCAGCACTCCCGTGTCTTTGAAGCTCTCAATCCTCAGCTTATTTGCGCAAGATTAGTTACAATGTTGATATTAGTATTAACAATAATAATCATAATCATAAGAGTGATGAACCTAAATCCTACACCATTCCGTTCGTGCAGTGCTAGCTAGACGGTACTCATATTTACCATAGCATCAGCTCTAGTAGTGTTGTTGGTATAAACTACATGGCCTGCGTTCTTTCGGAGGCACTTGCCATCGAGCTGCTTAAATCCTTTCTAAACTCCGCACCTGACACCGGATAAAGGAAATCGCACAAGGATGGCAAACTGCCTACCATTACTATAGGGGCATAAATAATGATCTATACTATTCTGGTGATTCCTTGTTATATTGATAATATAATGGGCCCCAAAACCCTATTCTAATTATTAAGGCCCCTCCTATAGAACCCTATTATAGATCCCTTATAGAACCCTTTTTAAGGATCCCCATGAAAGCCCCTATAGCAATACTAGAGCAAGTCCACATGGGTCTCAATGACTCCATGAATGCACGGCCATTTAAATATAGAGGCCTTCATAAAGTACCTAGACTATTTTGGTGCATTCCTTAAAGAGATCTTTAGGGGTTCATGTAAGGGATCTATAGGGTTTGGGTTTAGGATAATGGCTTAAATAATTACCTATGCTATTTTGGGGGGATCCTTGCTATCACTGTAGTATGATGGGCCCCGAATCCGTAGTCTAATTATTGATGCACAGCCATTTAGGCTCAAGGCCCAAATCAGATTGATTCCGTGGTTTGCAGACTTGATGAGATGCTCCGTGCTTCTGTCTCTGCTGGCACATGGCTTGGCAGTGCGGCAGATGAATCAGATAAAGCCCGGAGCTTAAGCCCAGTAGTAGAGTAGGTAACCTTTAACCTTTTTGGGGTAGTACAACCCCTATATAACCCCTATACAATCAAAAAGGTTAACCTTTAGTTCCCCATGATACCCGACAAGTATTTGGAGGTGAAAAGTATACTTATAACCCATGTTAGGCGAATTATAACCCCACTTATAACTACCCATGAACCTCAAAGTAGGAAAGCTCTCCGTTTCCAGAGAGCCGCAAGATGTCCAGAAACTTAAACCCCTCAAGGCAGCTGTCAGCAGTGAGCTTGGCCTGTAGCCGAAAAGACTTACCTTTTTCAGGTACTATATATAGAAAGCATAATAAGGAACCCTAAAAAGGGTAGGTACAGGGGACGCTTGCGCAGGCGCAAGGGAAAGTCGGGCAGAGAAGGTAAGGGGGTTAGGACCAGGCGTGCCGCATATCCAGGACCTCTTATGTTCCTGGCTATGTCTAGAGTAAGTCACAACACCTGCGTAACCTTCCAGTCCCTTCCCGCTTGCTGCATTTATTGGCGGTCCTATCCAAGCCGTGAGCCACCTATAACCTGCAGCAGCTACCTGACGCAGAATAGTCTGCTGCCCTGCGTGCGGTAGATTCCGAACCCGGAACACCTAAACCCTAAACTCCTAAATCGCGAAACCCTAAACCCTAAAGTCCGCAAGGTCAAACGACGGCATCGAACAGGAAGAAGACTGGGGAAGTTCGAACTTTGCAAAGCACGGAAACCCCATTGGCTCTGTTTTCGTCCGCGGTTCCAGTTGTAGGTGACACCCATGACGATGTATGTCGCAAACAAATGCGAGTCAACTGAGGAATTGTGGACAGGCACTTTGCAGTGGCAAAAAGTTCCTGGATTTCGGCAACGTCATGGCCATCTTCGATAAGTGCGTAGGTTCGCCAGGAAAGTGGAAGAATGAAGATGGCAAGATCATCAAGCCAGAACATACCAGTGCAAACATCATGCACCTGAACTGCAAATTAATTCTCCTAGGGCCTAGGGGTCTTTCGCCCATAGTGTCCTTTCCTCAGCTTTCTGAATTCTCTAGAGGCTGGATAGGGGCGACTACATTTGCCGCGAGAGCTGCTCAGTGCTGGTGCCCAAAGGCGAGGAAGGAGTAAGGAGATGGGAAACGAAGACCGTGTACCGGACCGGTGGCCTGGACAATCCGCATTGTATGTATGGCTACATCTGGGTGCATTGACTGCCCTCGGTGTAAAACAAGCGGCAGCAGTGTTCGTGGGTACTGGGGTTGAAAGGCACAGCATGGCCACTGAACGAAGCCACCACGGCCACAAGAAATAGTTGTTCGAGACTCTACATTTCAACCGCAATCTGTGCATAAACATATGTCTAGAGTCTAGACATGCTCGCACATAGGTTTGTATTATGCTATGCGAGCAAGCAATGATAGATTCTGCTATATTTGTGGTGCAGGTTGGGGAGTCGTAAGCCCCGAAACCTTAAACCTTGAAAAAGTTCAGACCTGGGCTTTGGAGTACCATACTTTACTACTTTTTTCTTAAAGGAACCATTATGACATAGAAGTTTATACTTCTTCTCCTTGGTTACTTAAAAGCCCAGAGACTCGTTCTTGCTGCAGACCTTCACTCCTCACATCCGTGTTGCAGCGGCTCGCGCGGGCCCTTGCTGAGGGGTATAGTGCTTCTGATTCAGTGTATTTAAAGGTTTAGAGTTCTGGGTTCAGGATTTCAGATTCTTTGGTGTGCAGTTGAATGTTTAGGGTTTGGGATTTAGAGGTTTTGGGGTGTTTTAGTTGATGGTTTAGGGTTTAGTCATAAGGGTCGGTTTGGGGCTTAGGGTTCAGGATCTGGGGTTTTTGTCACCGAAACCGAACCAAACCCCATCTCGGGACTTGGGTCTTAAGGGCTCAAAGATTTAGGCCCTCAGGATCTCATCCTGAGACGCCGGCGGTCGGTAGATGAACCTCTCGAACCCCACTTGGAGGTCCATGGGGAGTTATAAGTAGGGTTATAAGTCCCTTAGTATGGGTTATGACTATACACCCTACTTATAACCCCACTCATAACTACCCATGAACCTCCAAGCAAACCCTGAAAAGGCAGGCCTTGAATCCCAAAGTTTGTGCACAGTCCGGCAGAACAGCCGGGCATCCACAAACTAAAACCTGAGCTCCAACCTCTAAGCCCGAGTACCCGTGTAGTTGTGGTAAGGCGTGTATATACATCCTAAGCCCTAGAACCTCCCTAAGAAACCCTTGAACTAGTGATGAACCCCCCAATATTCGATTTTGCAGTAACTCCTTGTAGTAAGCTCTCTTACTACAAACAAGTCCCTGTTGTGTTCCGCGTTGAGCTCCCTAAACCCTCAAGTCTGAGCCTGCAAGCCCTAAATTAGAAGCCTTTAAACATCTTTAAACCCTAAATCCCAAATCCCATCTTTTGAGGTCCGCTGTCGTGCACCGGATGCTGGCGCGGCGCTGCTTTCGGCACTGCGGCTGCTGGGACTGGAGGTCGCACTTGGAGGGTCTTTAGAGGACTTAGTAAGTAGGGGCTCCTTTAAAGGGGATTCTAAGGGTTCCTTTAAAGGGCTCCATAGGGGTACTGTAGGGTTTAGGGTTCAGGGACTTAGTAAGTAGGTAGTGCGTAGACTTACAAGTAGCCTAAAAGGGGCCCTAATTGGGGTTGTGGTACAGCATAGGGTTGATATAATTGCATCGCATAGCATATGCTAGGTAGTAGACAGCGGATAGTACATTTGTTGTTTGGTATACCATGGTCTGACCTGCCTTGGGTGTTATCTGCTTCGGGTTTTGGTGTTTTCGAGCATTAGGGTTCAGGTCACTACAAACAGGGGGGGCAATTGTAATTGTAATTGCGCCCTAAACCCGACCCCTTAAACCCTAGACCGTTGACGTTTAACCCCCAAACCCCAGGCCCTGGAGGTACTGTCCCATTTACAGAGACGGAAGCGTCGCTGCGCTCCCAACGATTCCTACTGCCCTCGCAGCGCTCAGAACCATAAATAGTTACCTATACTACTTTGGTGTTCCTGATTGTTCCTGTTTATAGTTCCAGTATAAATATATCACAAAAGTCGATTCTTTTTTTGAGGCTCCCATATTCTATGTGTTCCACAGCCATCCATGGCAGCAACACAGTTGTTATGCGATCCGAATGTTTGAGTCTAGAGGACCCAGATCTTTGGCCGTTGCATGCTGGCGCTCCTTATGTGCATAACGGCTCCTTATTATAATTATGGCTTAATATACCCCAAACCCAATTCTAATTATTATTAAGGCCCCTGTATTATTCCGTTGATTGCATAATGCGGCCTCCCTGGCAGTGCAGCTCGCACGAGGCCCTCATGGGCTCTACATGGCCTTCCATCCCGAACCTTCCCCTCGCTCCCAGACCCCCCAGAAAAATCCAAAAAGTAGATCCCTTAAAAGGGGGGTTCCTATAAAGTACCCTTAGGGTTTTAATGTCACTTGGGTACCCTAAATAGCAGGTGCCGTATTAGAATAGGGACCCAAAAAAAGACCCTAATTTTGACAACTACCCATATGTTGAGCCCGTTTCAAGTTCTGCTTCTTCGTTCTACAAAGAGCATTGCGGGGGACCTGCTCTCGCAGGGTCGAGCCCTCTTCCTTTCAAATTTCAGTTGCCTTTAAAAAGCTGTCCCCGAAACTGGTATTCAAGACTGCTTCGCGCTTACACATATGTTTTTTCAATCGCGCGTAGAGGTCAACATCATACACCAGAACTGCGTCATTTGCCGGAGCCTTACGGGGCGGCAGGCTGTTCTTTTTGGCCCGCCGCTGATGAATGACGGCACTTTTTTAGGGGGCTATACTATTTTGGGGGCTCCTTGTTTTACTTATAGTACAATGTACCCCAAAGCCATATTCTGATGATTAAGGCCCCTACAATAGAGCCCAAGCTTGGAAAGTGCAACCTGCGCAGATTCCCCCGAAACCTCCTAAAACCCAACCCCCCCCTCCTCAAACAAAAATGCAGCAATTAGTAGAAACCTATAGGCCCTATAGCCCTATTCCTGAAGCTTTGAGGGAAGTCTTATGTGTCCCTGGAAGGTGCCGCCGAGCGAAGCGGGAAGTGGCGGCACCCTGACTCAACTGAGCCTAACGGCACCCTGACTCAACTGAGCCTAAAAGCCCAAAGTTGATAAAGATCTGCTAAGGATGCTACATTGATTAATTCTGGGAGATACCTCAAGTCATAATGTTCAGGCCAAAAGAGCTTAATGGTACATTCCGTACTCAAGGAGTTAGAGTTTTGGGGTTTGGGGTTTAGGACTTCAGATTCTCATGTGCGGCCTTCTTATTGGGCTCAGGGTTGAGGGCCTAGGGTTTAGAGTTTAGGGATGTGGGGTTTAAGGCTTAGGGTCCAGAAGTGCCTCTTGAAGCCGCTACTGTCGGATCTACTTGGAGGGTCGGGGGACTTAGTAACTGGTTGTTTTAATTTTAAGTGCCATAACCCCAATTAGGGTCCCTTTCAGGGTACTTATCAGTCTACTTACTACCTCTCACTAAGCCCCGACCCTCCAAGTAGTCCCTTTGTCCAAGTTTCGGACTGAGATCTGGATTTTTTCGGACTTCGACGCACAGGGTGCCAGGAAAGCATGTTTTGGCAGGTGCAGTTTGAAGTTTCGAGACTTCGCAGGTAGGACTCCGGGACCTGAATTTTTACGATAAGGTTATGGGGTTTGTTTGATTTCAATAGCTTTCTGGCATGAGGAACTGGCCCCTGACTTGGGCATTCCCACCGGATGCTCTCCTGCACCTTTCCTGGAGGCAGCTTCCCGTGACTCTGCTATCCGAAAAAAACCGCTACTGGGGTGACCCTAAAACCCTAACACTTAACCCTAACCTTCAGGGGCAAAAGAGACCCCAAAGGCTTGCCACACACTTCCTGGGCTCCGCGGCACGGCAGCGAGCAGGGATCTCAGTCTGCAGCGGTCCCCAGACAAACTCAAGTCAACTTCTAGCTTCCTTAGTAGAGGATTAGGGATTTAAAAAGGGTTTACTCAGTAACCTAGAACACAAACCTACAAACCTGAAGATGTACCAGTAACACTCCCTGGAGTTCCCATATGATATACACTTACACCAACCCCGGTTCTCATCACCAAGGCCCCTACATTATGAAGAAGAAGGGAAGGAAACATCGTGAAGCCTGCTTGGAGGTCGAGGGACTTAGTCATTGGTTATTTTCGGGACTTATAAGTGCCATAACCCCAATTAGGGTCCCTTTTAGGGTACTTATAAGTCTACCTACTACCCACTTAAAATGTCCCTCGACCCTCCAAGTGGGTGAGGGGAGTGGAGGTCTTAAAGGAGCTTCATGCCCCAGGCCTTTTCTGTTAAATTTAAAGCCAGAAAGTTGGAATATGATTATCCTAAACCCTTTATGGTAGATTATAAACCCTAAACCCTAAACCCTCAACCCTAAGGTATCCTACCCTGAAACCATATTCCAACTTTCTGGAGTTCCCTTTACTCCACAAGAGGAGACTTTTCGTTCAGGTTTTTAGGGTTTAGGGAGGAGGTTCATGGGTAGATACAAGGATTCCTTTAAGGGTCCCTTTAAGGGGATCTATAGGGGTTCTACAAGGGTATAGGGTTTAGGGGTAGTTATAGGTGGGGTTGTAAGTAGAGTAACTTTACTTATACTTGGAGGGTCGGGGGACTTAGTAAGTAGGTAGTAGGTAGACTTATAAGTACCCTACAAGGGACCCTAATTGGGGTTATGGCACTTATAAGTCCCTAAAATAACCAGTTACTAAGTCCCCCGACCCTCCAAGTAGCCCATATTAGGGGACCTATAACCCTACTTATTGCTACCCATGAACCCCCAAGTAGGGAGGAGGTCAAGAGCCGTGGCAAAATTCGAATCAGACTCTCCCTTTGTTCGCAGTCATGTTGAGATCACAGGTTGTGTGAAGCTCTACATTTCCTCCTTCCCTTCTCACCACACTACTTCACAGGATATGCAGCCGAGCCATCATGTTCTCTTTCCCCTGTGAAACCAGCCAAACGGAATCAGATGACGTCAGGTTTCCCCGGACGAGATCAGCTACAACACAGCCCGGGCCGTGGCCTGCCACCTGCATCGGTTGTACATGGGGTGGGGGTGTGGGGGGGGGGTGTGGGGGGGTGTGCTCGGAGTTCCGAATGGACCAATCCAAATTCAGGCTAATATTGGGGGCTCGGAACCAGTACTTACAGCACATTCGTGCAAAATCTTCCAGTCCCCTTAAACCTATATCGTAATATGCCCCGAAACCCTAGTCTAATTAAGTCGCCAATGATACCCAGGAGCCTCAGACCCGCAAATCACAGTTCATCGAGCTCTTGCGTGCGAATGCAAGGAGTCGATGTGGACTCGCACACTGGGCTTTCTTTCCGGCATGGTCGACCTTGCTCCCCCCTCTACAGTTGTGAGCACAAAGCCCAAAAAAGAAAAACCCTCAAAACCCCCGCCCCCCCGGCCACAACTCCTTAGCCTCAGCAGATTCTGCGCCATTTTCGAGCATCCTGTTTTATTGCGGACCCATCTAAAATATTATAGCAAATAATATTTTATCATATAATCGATCATAGAGTCTATCTATATATATGTATATATACATATGACCGTCTCAGTGCATGTTCGATTCAGCCCAACCCTTGGTCCCAGCGAGGTCCTCAGCGCCCAGGAGAGCTCCTGGAAAGCTGCAGAGGCGACCTTGGAGGTTGGATGCTCGGTCTTTAGGATTTAGGAGAAGGGTTCCCTTTAAGGGTCCCTTTAAAGGGATCTGTAGGGATTCCATAAGGGTATAGGGTTTAGGGCCTACTTGGAGGTTCTTGGGTAGTTAGAAGGGTTCCTTTAAGGGTCCCTGTAAAGGGATCTGTAGGGATTCTGTAAGGGTACAGGCGGTATAGGGTTGTGGGACTTACTTGGAGGTTGGACACTCCACCAAAGCTTTGGGAGAAACGACTAAGGACTCAAGGTTCAAGGTTTAGGGTTTGGGATATTCATGGAGTTAGGGTTTAGCTGTAAAGCTTGACCATCCCTTAGGTGGTGAAGTAGAATAAGAAGCCGGAGAGCCCTACACCTTCTGTCCTTTTGCCGACAAGGATGTACCCAAAAAAGCTATGTTTGATTGCCGCTTAAGCGCAGTAGGGGCAAGAAATTGCCGCAACCACTGTAGCAGCCATCAAGTAGTACCGATGAGTCCTTGGACAAGATGCGAAGCTTTGCCTGACCCCCACTTGTCGGCATGCCAATTTCAGAAAGGCATCAACTAATGGTGGTATGAAGAGGTCTTAGCAGATCTTCCAAAACTTGAAACGCTACAGCCTAAATTTGAGCTTGCCGGCACCCTTAACCCCGACCCCAACGCACCTAAGGCCAACCCCAATACCCGAGATCCTAAACAAACCCTGCACCCCTAAACCCAACAACCCCCTGACCCGTATAAATCCAATACTCGAAACACCCCCGAATTAGTCCCTGGTTAGGCCTTGCGGAGATCAAGCTGCGAAGCTTCAGCTACGTCGTACAACTCCCTGCTCAGCGCCAGCAGCTGAGTTGGGACCTGGTGAATAATTCTGGATGGTGGCCTCCCATGGCGGAGGAATATTCCTTAAATCAGAAAGGGATCCTACTATAGATTCAAGGTATACTAATTAAGGCCATATTGGAGACTCAGGGCTGTTGGGTTTGGAGTTTGAGTGAATGCAATTCGTGTCTCGGACAACCTCTCGGACAGTCTCAGAGCAACCACGTGTAAACTAATAAGGGGCCTGAATAATTGGAGTAGGGTTTTTTAGGGCATATTATATTGTAATTACAATAAGGAACCCCCACAGTAGTAGTGGTAATTATTAGGTGGAGTTTGCAGTCAGGCCTGCGAGAAGTGCTCCAGCTGGAGCGAGGCGCTTTCCGCGCCGGCAGCTCAGACACAGACTATGCAGCTCCACCCGATGTTGCTCCATCTTAGCAATGTTTGTCAGACTGTTGGTTTCGTGCTGGCGCTGACACGATGAGACATGCGAAACATGAGGTTGAAGACCTTCCTGCGCCGAGGCTCTCCCAGATGCTTGGCCTTTCGGTGGCGCTCGATGCGTTCAGCGAGAGCGCCGGCATCACCACATTGAACAAGGTTTCCGTTCTCAGAGCTTGGAGTGCTGCGCGGGAGGTGGTCGCAAGTCCCATTTTGCAGCCCTGCCATATGGGAGTTTCCGAAAATAGGGGGACCCTAATATAGCACACTAGGTGCCCCGAATTCTCGGAAACTCCCATACCTCAATAGCTCCACGATTAGAGTCTTGCTTCAGGGTATATCTGCGGGTGACTTCGAGGGCTTCTGGATTCAGAGACCCTGAGACTCTGAGCGCTACGAACCTGAGAAGCTTCTGGATTCAGAAACCCCTGAGAATCTTGAGCCCTACAAACCTTAGAAGACTTCACCCTAAACCCTAAACCTCAACCGGATCTTGAAAGGGTCCGCGTGGTCGGTAACCCCAAAGTCCCAAAAGCTCAGCTCGTTTACTTCTTCTAATTGGATGGTAAAGCTGGGGTATTCTGAGCCCCTTCCTGAAGAAGGCTTCTATGGGTGGTGGTCAAAATTAGGGTCCCGTTTTGGGTCCTTAATATAGTACGGCACCTTATATTTAGGGTCCTCAAAAGGGACCCTAATTTTGACAACCACACATATTGAGTGTCCGAATCTGGTCATGTGCTTCCCCACACAAGCTTGCCTTGCAAAACCTAAACCCGCAAAACATGAACCCTGAACCCCACATCATAGCCCTAAACCCTTAAACTTAAACTCCTAAACCCTTAACCCTTAAACCCTACAAAAAAGTAGGGTCCCTATAAATTCCATATTAGGGTTTATAATAAGAACCTACAGAAAGGTAGGGTTTGGTAGGTTTAAGGTAGACATCTATTCACGTTTCCGGCAGCCTCGACCAGCGGCCCGAGAATGCCATTGTTACTCCTCGGGCCAAATGGGAGTTTCCGAAAATGAGGGTGGCACCTTTGGGGTCCTGAGAATAAGGACCCTACTACTTAGGGTACTATATTAGGATCCCCTATGTTCGGAAACTCCCAAATCTAGGTAGCAAGTTGCGAACATACCCATGTCAAGTCCTGATACTTTACTTACAAAGACCAATCCTGATGCCCAATACCCCAACCCTAAACGGCTACAGATCTGTCACGCTCTGTAGGCTTGCTTTCCTGAAATGATATTATGGAGTATGCCGCCGGCTCCGGACTAGCCGCAAGCCCTGTAAGCCAGGGTTGCAAGATGTCGGTTACTGTTGCAGTAGGACTGCTCAGTGGCAGGAAAACTTTCGTGGAAGCCGGTGTGGAAGAGGAAGTGGGATTATTGAGCCGTCGGGCACAGGCTGCATTGGGAATCGGAAAAGGGCAGCTGGTGGACTCGTTTGGACACATTCTGGATCCCTGTGCTCGAATAAAAGATGTCGGGGTGCAAGATGGTGATTGGTTGACCATGCACCTGAGCCGAGTTGAAGCATGTGCCACTGGCTTGGTCTTTGCTGCCATCCTCGGTGATGGATCTGTCGTCACCTGGGGAAGTGGTTGTCCTCGCGAGTTTTTTGGTGATGGATCTGTCTTCACCTCGTCAACTGCCGACGCGGCTGACAGTAGTGCTGTGCAGGATCAGCTGAAGGATGTGGAGCACATCCAAGCCGCTCATGCTGCTTTTGCTGCCATTCGTGCTGAGGGATCCGTCGTAACCTGGGGCGTTTCCTCATGTGGTGGTGACAGTAGTGCTAAGCAGGACCAGCTGAAGAATGTGCAACAGATCCAAGCCTCTGGCAATGCTTTCGCTGCCATTCGTGACGATGGATGTGTCGTCACATGGGGAGACCCTGCATGGGGTGGTGCCAGTGGCACCGTGCAGGACCAGCTGAAGAATGTGCAGCAGATCCAAGCCGCTCACCGCGCTTTCGCTGCCATTCTTGGTGATGGATCTGTCGTCACCTGGGGGGATGCTGCCAGTGGAGGTGACAGCAGTGCCGTGAAGGATCGGCTGAAGAACGTGCAGCGGATCCAAGCCTCTAAAGAGGCGTTTGCTGCCATTCTTGGTGATGGATCTGTCGTCACCTGGGGAGATGCTGCCAGTGGAGGTGACAGCAGTGCCGTGAAGGATCGGCTGAAGAATGTGCAGCAGATCCAAGCCTCTAAAGAGGCGTTTGCTGCCATTCTTGGTGATGGATCTGTCGTCACATGGGGAGATGCTGCCAGTGGAGGTGACAGCAGTGCTATACAGAATCGGCTGAAGAATGTGCAGCAGATCCAAGCCTCTCACAAGGCTTTCGCTGCCATTCTTGGTGATGGATCTGTCGTTTCCTGGGGAGATGCTACCAGTGGAGGTGACAGTCGTGCTGTACAGGATCGGCTGAAGAATGTGCAGCAGATCCAAGCCTCTCACAAGGCTTTTGCTGCCATTCTTGGTGATGGATCTGTCGTCACCTGGGGAGATGCTGCCAGTGGAGGTGACAGTCGTGCTGTACAGGATCGGCTGAAGAATGTGCAGCATATCCAAGCTTCTTGTGCCGCCTTTGCTGCTATTCTCGCTGATGGATCGGTCGTAACCTGGGGAGATGCTGCAGTAGGTGGTGACAGCAGTGCTGTGCAGGAGCAGCTGAAGAATGTGCAAGAGATCCAAGCTTCTGGCCGCGCTTTTGCTGCCATTCTTGGTGATGCATCTGTCTTGACCTGGGGCGACATTCTTACCGTAGAGGGTCAGCTGATAGTATCTAAGGGATATGATGAGATCTTTGCTACAGAGGGCATCGGATCTGGAGCAATTAGGTCATAATGCCAAACATTTTAACAGCACTAGCTTCGCGAGATTCGCGCAAGCATCTTCGACATTGCAACGTCGTTGAAGTGTGTCGCAAGCGCTTTACAGGCGGTGCCCCAGGCGCACTGGAAACAAACTCCTGCAAGGCGACAGGTGCAGCAAAAAACAGAAAACTATGTACCAAGCTAATGGCACTGCTCTGTTGTCAACGTAATCAGCCTCATCACTACGCCCCCCAATCCTGGGCTCACAATCGCATCTCCGCTACCATCATAATCGATCTTTGCCAACCCAGGTATGTTTTGTTACTTGCTTTTCCCGGTTTTGCTCCGACTGAAAAACCTTCGAGTGCGGCATCCACTAGGTAGGTGACAACAGGTACACAATGTCTAAATGGGTGGTTGTCAAAATTATGGCCCTTTTTTGGGTACCCTAAATATTCGGTGCCGTATTATAATAGGTACCCAAAAAGGGACCATAGTTTTTGACAACCACCCATATGTAGTTCATAGCGCTGCTCCAGATGATTGTCACAGCACCCTGCCGCACAACATCAAGCTGACAGGTATTGGCCTCGAACTTCTTGGACCCAAACCTATCAATCCTCAACCCAAGTCCACAGCGAGCCCAATCGAACCTTTGGCTCTCACGCTTTTCGCCGTGGGCGGCGGGCCCCTCCAGGTCCCCAACGCAATGAAAATCTGCCAGTATTGAGGACCCAAACCTGGGTTCTTCTTCAGGGATTTAACAAAGAAACCAAAACCAGATTATTTGCTATAGATCCCGATTATGGTAACCTAAACTGGAAATTCCTGAGCCCTTGAACCCTTATAGAACCCTTAATGGGATCCTAAATTATGGGACCCTTAACAAGAACCCAGAAACCTCTCTTTGGGCCTCCGGCCTCGCCTGGAGGCCAAGCACTGGGAGGAAGCGCTTCTTAGATTCGGCCGCAGCCCCGGGAAAGCTTTGGCGCTTAGTAGCTGAGTGGATAGACTTCTACACTTTTTGGGGAGAATAGTACCCACTATAAAACTGAAAGTGCAAATTTTTGGGTGCTTATGAACTTAGCAACTGGCGGCTGAATGGTCTTCTTCCGAGCCCCTGGCAGTGGATAAGGAGCGGCCTCAGTATGTGGCAGGGAGTTTACAACACCTTGAACCCTGCCATTTCGACGATCCCGGCACGAACATGGACCCCTAAACCCCGCAGTCCTGCATCCTTGAATCCTGAGTCCCGAAATCCCAAAACCGTGAGGTCCAACCTCCGACCCCCGCTTGCCAACTGAGGTTTCGCCGGTGCCGCGGCCAGAAGTGCCGGGGATCCTGGGACATGAAGGTTTTGGGCTTAGGGTCGGTAGTTAGAACCTTCTTGAGGGAGCCGGTCATAAGTTCAGTACGGGGCTTTTTACACCTAAACCCTGAACCCGGGCTTTTTACAAGGGTTTCTGATTGAGGGTTACAAGGACGTCAAGGATTTCCCTTCCACCTCCGAAGCTTCAAGCTCCGGCCGGAACTCAAGATCGGTTTAGGGGTTCAGGGCTTGCTGGGGGCGTCGGGGGACTTAGTAAGTAGGTAGTAGGTAGACTTATAAGTACCCTAAAGGGACCCTAATTGGGGTTATGGTACTTGTAAGTCCTTACAAATAACCAGTTACTAAGTCTCCCGACCCTCCAAGTAGGGTCTAGGGACTTTGTTGCGGACTGGATTTTCCTGGGCATGCGGACAAATATGGCCCCAACCGGTCATGCGAATTGCGATTCTGGTTTGCGGATGCCTGCTCCATTGCTCCATGTCTTGACCTTACAGCTCTGCCTAGGCGTTGGGGAATACTCGCTCCCACTATGGTTAGTCACGTGCACAGAGATCAGGTGGTCACCTTTGGCGCCGCACTGACGGCGTGCGAACGCGGCCGGCAGTCTGGCCCTCGCTGAGTTTGTCAAAGACCTTCGGGCTTCTTCGGCTGAGGAGCTTCCTTGGGTCTCTGCAAGCTTTGAAAATCAGAGTTCAGCGTGATCTGGATCCGGGTCCTGGTCACATTTGTAGTCGCACGTATTTCTCGAGACGAAGAGTTGAGTCTAGTGCCTTGAAGCTTCCCAGTAACCATGACATGAAGCCTACAGGGTCTTCACGGCTGCACTGCGAGGTATCCTTTCAAGCGTAGGCGCAGGAGCATGCATATGCCGGCGAAGCTTCCTCAAGTCTGCCGCAGAGACCAAGCCTCTAGCCAAAAGGCGAAAGCATCCTGGTAACAGCTAGCTGTCTGCCTGCCACAATAGCGTCGGCTTTGATTTTTGTTGGTGAAGCCTTGGGTGCATTAATGCCATGCGACTAGCTCCGAGCTCGGCTCCGAACCATGGAGCTTCGCCAAAGAAGGGCAGGACTGTCTGTTGCATAGTAGGGAAGGGGGGAATGAATCCCTATAGTGTCCCTGTAAATTCTCAGTAGTAGTCTCCATAGTCCATTCTTCCCCCCTTCCCTGATCCCTTGTGTAGTCCGTGTATAGACCCAATAGTAGTCTCCGTAGTCCATTCTTCCCCCCTTCCCTGCGAAGAACCAGACAGGAGGGCAGAAGGATCAGAAGATGCTGGAAGCAGAGGAGGCCATATGCTAAAAACAGTGTGATGGTCACTTTTTTGTTGCATGCCATTACTTGATGGACGAATTCAGAAGCACTGGGTCGTTTTTTTGCTTAGCAATGTTTGGGTCTCTACGCTTTGGGTTTGCAGTTGTGCCGAGTGCGGTGATTCAGTGTTGACTCATTGTGAGGTCCTTTGCCGCATTTGCCAAGACTCCAGCGGCAAGCTTGTGCGCGCTTGTGGCTGCAAAGGAACTCTTGCATACGTCCACCCGGAGTGCCTGATGCAGTGGCGGGCCTATTCGCCCAAGGCCGCCGCCATGTGTGAGCTGTGCAACTGTCCGTACACTCTGCCTGGGCCACTGGGCTGTGGCCAAACATCAGCACTGACATTGACGATCGTCGCACTACTGATGATATGGATGTCGTTGGCACGAGATGTACTCGTTGTGAATGGCTTACTCCTGCCCGCAGCAAAGCACTGCAACGTCGGTGAGTTCACGCCTCCTTGGCGCCGTGCACTGGTGAGCCTTTTCGAAGCTGCGGATCTCGACCAGGATGGGGCCATGTCCTTGGAGGAAATGCGAGCTCTGGCAAACCGCACTGGAGAAAAAGTCAGTGATACTGTTCTTGAGCTGGCGCTCAAACTCGCGGATCACAATGAGAACCTTGGTCCTTTTTCAGGAAATTAATTTTTCGCAACCAGAATAAACCCAGCAAACACCCTTCGGGACCCATACAGATTCCTTAAACCCTAAACCCTGAACCTAGGAGAGGCCTCACGGTGCAAGGTCTGCGGCAGACCTATGAGCGTGACAGCGGCTCTGTGCTCTTGCAGGATCCATGTGGAGCTTGGCTGAGGGTAGTTTCAAGTTTCGGGTGTGCGGGGCTTCAGAACTGTAGAGTTTGGAGGCTTAGGAGGTTCGAGGTCTTGAGAGTCAGGAGGAGGGCTTATGGCGCTAATGCTTCAGGTATGAAGGGCTTAAAGCCAGTCCTTGTTTCCAGCGCAGGATCTCAAGATCTACAACCTCTCTCACGTCCTTCGACACGAGGAAGGCGCGAGATTTCGGAAGCCAATGACTCGAAATAACTCAGCCTGCTTTACACCTCCGATCCGTGCAGTACAGCTGCTTTTTCTTCCAAGCTCACACTCCCAAACTCTCCAAGCCCCAATAATAGAACCGCGGGAGCAGAGAAGTTGAAGCTGGCTAAGATTTGAACCCTTTCACACCAGCCTTTTTTTGTTGCGAAGCTGATGCAAAGCCGCCGCCGTCTTCGGGACTGTTATTCCACATCGAACGAACCCGTATCGCACCCTTCCGGACCCCATTCTCTTTCTCTTGCAGAGGTGACATGAGGGGTTTGTCCTGTGCGCTCTCCTTCGTGGCCTCGGCCCTGGCTACACGCGAGGCAACGGGGTTTAGTGTACAGAAAAGAGGCCTAATTACCAATACTCTTTTGGTGATTCCGTGTTTACATATACATAGTGTAATATACTCCAAAGCCCCATTCGAATTATTGAGGTCCCTACACTAGAGAAGTTGTTGGTGGGCACTGTTCTCCTTGACGGTCGTATCGGTAAGACCTCGACCTCGACAAGTCTAGCTTTGTCGTGGCATTGCATGTCTGGACGGGTTCTCCTGGCATTCTTAGGAACCTCTTGAGAGTCCACTTAGAGAACAATGACAGAGGACGTTGTGCAACATCGAAATTTTCTCATGTGAGCTAGTCACGAGAGCCCTTCATAGGGAAGGTAATGGAAAACCAAACCAGGTCTGCGATAATGCAAGGCGACCAGCGACTTAGGAACGTCGAAACTGTAATGTTAGCACAGTCGGAGACTAGAAGTGTGGAACGGACATGAACCTTACCTGCGAGGAACATCGTATCCTCCATCACGGGACCTCCGATGCCAAACAAGATAGAGCTGAAGCCCTCCGCTGATGGCAGGCGCGGCAGCTCTTAAAGCTGAGCCCGCTCATGCACCTGCAATGGCGACGTGTTGCCCTTCAAGGACTGCTATGGTTCAGAGCCAGCCCTTCACTGAAAGTGCTCCACAAGTCCATGTTACCAGACTACCCAGAAAGCCAGTAGCACCCCTTTGTCAAGGAATACTTGTAGGGGCTGTACTGTTTTGGTTCCGCCTGGCTTGATCATCCCGAGCCGGCAATCCTTTCAGGGCTGCTGATCCTTGCCTTGATCCTGCTGCTCCATTCCTGGCAGTGTACCGGTGCCCCTTGGACAGTATGGCGTACCCTTCGAAGCTTAGACTAGGAAGATCTGGGAGATCTACTGAAGTACCATTATGAAGCTAGTCGGGTCAACCTACGCGTGCAGCGCCCTTGCATTTTAAAGTTTGTAACTCGGTTTCCACGGAGGTCGAAGCATACTGCCGAGTCTGGCGCTGTGGTCGTGAAACAATCCGAACTTGGAGGTTCATGGGTAGTTATCAGTAGGGTTATAATATAATTAGGGTAACTATACTTATAACCCACAATAGGGGACTTCTAACCCTACGTATAAGTAGGGTTATAATTAGGGCAACTGTACTTATAACCCATATTAGGGGACTTATAACCCTACTTATAACTACCCATGAACCTCCAAGAAACGAACACTTGTTAGAACAACGAGCCCACTCCAACCTGGCAGTTGTCCTGATGGCGGCTTCGCGTGGATGTAGAAAAGGTCGACCATGTACGGAGGCCGTAGCACTCGACACTGGGTTCTTTCTGCGCCTATTCCTTCTAGATCTCCATGCCTTCGTTTGCCTTTTCTGTAAATGTTTCCTTCAGTGGATCGTCGAACTAGACATCACCTTTATGTGGCATCCGTCTAGAAGGCCATCCGTTTGTTCACGTCAAATGATGCATCTAGCACTTCGATGCATCGAAGGGCAAACCAGGGATTGGTCTGAAGTCTTCGAGTCTTACAGTGCGCACCACCATCTGAGGCCATTGTTGCATTCACCTTCGCGGCATGGCCGTTGCCTCAGCCCTGCAGCACGTGGCATCCAAGTGGAGTCGAGGTCAGGGCACCTTGAGAAGCCATCCGTGGAGTTTAACTGAAAAGGTTTTTGTATTTCGAACACCATCACACTTCTGCGAGGCCATGTGCACTGGCGGTGGACAGCGAGTCGCCGCTACCAAGGCTGGGCTAAGTCTTCAGGGCCAGCCTGGGCTCAGGCGGCTTCCATCCTCCCTGGGCTCCCAGACGTTCAGCACGGACTACGAAGGTATGCAAGCCGATGCAACTTTCAAATTCTGCACAGACTATATCTGAATAACATGGTATGGTGCACTTCAAACACCGTCTCACACCGCTCTCTTTCCTGGACAATCTCTACAGCCACAAGACTGAGGACGCCTTAACCTTAGCCGAAGCTGTGGCATATATCCGAAATCCAAGCCAAGTGTGAGTGGAGGAACCCGGCTGCTTCCATACATTGTCCATACACCCAAGAGGATCCAGTAGCAGTAAGAAACATACACAAGCTAAAAGCAAATCTTAACCTCGTCCCCAACCTCGACATTCAGCGCATCATAGTCGCCTCGCAGGCAAACTGAACCGCCACCTACCGACAGCTTTGCGAGCAGGCCGATGTGCGTAATGCAAGACAGCCACTTCATCGTCCCAAGCTGAGCGCCGGCTTAGCTGCATCCTCCACATCTTCCTAGTTCTTAGCAACAACCTGGGACCCGCAGTATTCACAAAACCAAATTTGATGGAACATGACGATCGTAAATACTCGAAACAAAATTCACCTGTGCTCAGAATTCAAGCATTCCATGCGCACATTCCGTGGCATGGCCAGGTCAGCCACCGAGCTGCAGCCGTGTGCTTCCAAGCGCCCGCCTGAGGCACAGCTCCCGACAAAGAGCTCGAAGTAATATAGGGGCCCGAATAACTACCTATACTGCTGTGGGGGTTCCTTATTCTAATTACCGTATAATATGCCCCAAATCCCTATTCTAAGTCGAAAGGTTCCTATATTGGTGCTTGGGGCTTCAAGGGTCTCTGACAACGAGAGCTGTGAAAGCTTCCGAAGGTCTCGTGGAGGTCGGTTGCTTCCTTATCAAATTTCACTGATGCAGATCCTTTTTCACATGGCTTTGGATTCTGGAAGATTCCGGTATCGAAGCTTCGGGCCAACAGGACAAGTATGAGGATGAGATAGCTACGGACAGCGTCGCGCTTGTACCTAAAGCCTGAAGAAACAGTCCGCCCCTACTCCGGGGTCATCTTCTCAAAAAGCTCGGTGCCCGGACATGGAGGCCAGTGTGATGCGATGCCTCCTGCGTCTGTTGATCACTGGCACACTGGCCGCCGTGGCGTTGCTGACGAAGTGAGGCAAGGCCGGAAAGAGTCATAAAGAGTCGAGGTTGCTGCAACGACTCAAGAAGTGCGTGTTTCTAAGTCTTAGCCCTCGCCTCATTCCCCTCGATGAAGCATATGGTTGCATGAGGTTTGAGAGGATGTGTCTGCCCAGATGTCTTGGTTGCACACACGGTTGGTCTGCATGTCGGAAGGCGACATGTAGCCGGTGCTGTCGCTGGTACCCTTCCTGTCACTGCCATGCTGCTACCCATCGATGTCGGGATTCTCCTTCTGCACAGGTTACGATGATATCGTGTGCGTTGCCACTCTTGATTTTTTTGTCGTTCCTATTTCTGAAGTCACCACATTCCATCTGTCGGGAGAGATGCACTCGGAAGCCTTGTGGTTTAGGGAGAACCGAAGCTCTGCGAGGTGAAGACAGCGACAGAGCAGGGTCGCCCCAAAGCGAAGAACTGTCTGGTTCCTGGTAGGGAATGGGGGAATGGATCCCTATGATAATCTCTAAGGTCCCCTATAGCAGTCCTAATAATCCATTCCCCCCATTCTCTACTAAGAACCAGACAGCAGAGCGAAGAAGGTGTACATACTCGGCCCAACTGTCGGCCGTAGCTGGGCATAGACGTTTCACAGCTTCTGAAGTTTCCAATGCCCCCAAGCTCCACACCGGAACGGCAAGCCGAGAGTCCAATTATACGAAGACACAAGGTGTTTGAATTGATAGATCAAAAGCTCGTTTCTGCAAGGCAGCTGTAGATTTGGTTCTCTGTCAGGCCTGTTCCGGAACGGGGATGCCCTGTGCAGTTCTTCGCTTGTCAAAAAGCAGTGTTACGAACAAGACCCACGGCCTTCAGCAACATGGGCGCCTTCTACATCTCTTTCAGATCACTAGCTTTTTCGAGCCAGCCATGCAACAGCGCCGAGACACATGACAAGGAATCAAGCCACAATTTGATAAGTGCTGCGCCAACTCCCGAGAACGGGGACGAGACCAGTCCAAGGTGGCTCAGTGCACTCCAACTCCTCACCAAACTGCCGGCCACTTCCTTGCAAGGACTGACAGGGAATGCTGCACGACGCATTCGCTTCAAATTTGTCGGCCTTTACGATCCCCTCAGAGTGTTCAGGCCAGGTCCGGGGTCTTGAGGTTGCACAACTTTCTTGGAGGAAACGTCGTGACCTACAGTGCGGCACTGGCGGCCTGTGCAGATGCCGTGCAGCCGCTTGACGAAGTTGATGTCAACTGCTGCAAGAAAGTCATATGCTGTTTCCAGCTTGTTCCGTTTCGCAGCACGTGAACTGCAGCATGTGAGTGACTTCAACATTCCACGAGGTGGCGTGTGGCTTGTCAGCTCTTCTGGGACATGGCAGGATTCCCGGTGCTGTTGATGCATAGCTTGGTTTTCAGATCGTTTGCCCGCTGGATGAGCTCTTGCAGCCACGAGGGCGCAAAAACTCCGTGAGGTATTACGGGGGGAGCCCAGTGAAGGCCATGAGCACGTTATTCATGCGAGGCGAATGCATCCGTTGAAGCGAACACCGTGGTTTTCGGCGCGGTCACAGGCGCCTTTGCAGCAGCCGTCCGAGCCCTGGGATCAACCCTTGTCTGCACAGGTTCCCCATGGTAGTAAGTGCGACGCACCGCTGCAGCCTACTACTATTGCTGCTACTACTACTACTACTACTACTACTGCTACTACTGCTACTGCCACTGCCACTGCCACTGCCACTGCCACTGCCACTGCTACTGCTACTGCTACTACTACTACTACTACTACTACTACTACTCCTACTCCTACTGCTACTGCTACTGCTACTGCTACTACTACTACTACTACTACTACTGCTACTACTACTACTACTACTACTACTCCTCGCGTCTCTGTCCAAGAGAAACAAGTGAAACCAAAGAGATGGATGGGTCTCATCAGAGGCCTGCCTATTCTCAAACCGACAGTGAGGCAACCGCACCCTCCTGCTGACCTCACTCAGGACTGGAGGCTCGCCATCTCCATGCTCAGCACGATGGTCGAGGCTTGCAGCGAAAGTGAAGCATTCCAGTCTTTGCTTCGAGAGTATCCAAGCAGTTTACTACCCTTTTCGCCACAAGAATGGCGTACCTTCGAGACGTGAGGAGGCCGTTCGCATCAACACGGTCGTGCTTCTTGCTGCTCTTGACGCCTGCGCCTCCGTGCAGCCCTCGGGCACTATGCGGTAAGATTGCAACTCTTCCAGAAGTTGCTGCATGAACTGAGCATTTGCACGGCTTTGGATGTTTGTGTAACGTGTAGCCGTGCACTATGCAAGGACATGCTTGGCACATTCTCAACCTCGTTTCACTGCCATGCTTTCAGTTGCAGCCCCACTTCGCTTTTCCAGGCTGGAAAAACAGATACGATTATCGCGCTCTCCACGGAGATGGCTGATGCAGGGCTTACAATTGTCCTCCGCCCTGTTTGCTGCAATCTCTCCTACTATTTGCTTAAGAACCCCAAAAACTAAAAAACATATTCCTTATGGGGGTAATATAGGGATTATTATTTTTATTTTTGTTGGGTGCTTTTTAAGCACATAGTAGTCTCATGATGCCACCACCTGTGGTCAGCCAGCCAGAGCCTCGCCGGAACAGGATGCGGAGACGTGCAGCGCCATCGTCGCAGCAGGGAACTCAATTCTTTGTCATTGTTGGGTAACATTTTACATTTTTTATGGGTACTTAAACCCAATAAGGAATAAAAATGTACATTTTTAATCCTATCTCAACAATGAACTAGAATTTATGAGTCGAAGCACTGGGAGAAGTTAACCAGCTTTCGTTGAGGCCTGTGAATCTCGGCAGCCACGCCGTGCTGCAATGCTTCTGGACACGGCCGGTAAGGACAGTTCCAAGAGAAGGCTTCTTCACTTTCACGGCTTTGCTGCTTGCTTGGCTTTTTCAGCTCGTCGTAGCTTTGCAGTGTTTCGTTATCCACGTCATGAAACAAAGTCGCAACAGCTCTGCAAACACTCCCCAGTATCGGACAGCAGATTGAAGGTCTTGTTCCTGTCAAGGACGGCTTGCAGCAACTCCAGAGCTCTGGTCGCTGAGATGCAGCAAATGGTTGCTAGCGTTTCAACTGCATCCATCGAAATGTTTGCCCTCGCACTTGCAGTCTCACCGCTTGCTGCCCTGATCGACTCGCCTTCTTTTGGCAGCCCGGGGTGGCATTTAGCCGGGCAAAAGAAGACATTGGATTTTCTACTCTTGTGAGCACAGACGCAGTTTCTGCAGGCGACACTCTGCGCATGTTGTTTTAGTACTTTGCCGCTTCATTGCCAGCTGCTTTGATCAAGCTGCTGGCCAGCTGTGCCACAGACTTTGGACATATCTGAAGTTTTGCATGTCACCCTTCGTCTTGAAGGGCAACAGTCCTAGTTTACAACAAAGGCAAGTGAGCGAAGCTTCAGGCGCAAGCACCGCACTGTAACCAGTTCCTCGCTTCGCTGAGCGACAATGCGGCTCGGTCCGTTCATTCCTCGTCGGGGCCGCCTTCTTTGCTGTGCGCTGCTGCTTCTGGCAGTGCTGGCTCCGTGAGACTCTCAGGTTTAGGGTTTAGGGATTAGACTTCAGTTCAAGCTTGATGGATTGGTTGGGGTTTGGTGCAGCACAAAGGGGGTTCAGATCCCGAGATTGTGGATCGTCTAACTTGCGTAGGCGACATGATGCTGCTGGCACACGCACTGAAACATCTTCCTTGTGCTGCCATTTCTCTGGTGCGCCAAAGAGCTTTGTTGCCACCAAGGCTGAACCTCACATTTGGAAAGCCTCAGAGCACGCAGAAGGAGTCTTCAAGACCTGAACTGCAGGCGGATTGTGTGAAGTCTCTTGTACATGAATGGGGACCATTTGATCCTGTGACTTCCGTGAAGAATTGAGAATGTCATGTGTGACTTCAACATGCTCTCAGAGATATATATGTTCTCACATAATCCAACACAACCCCAGCAAGCACATCCGTGTTTAGGGCTACTGTTTAGGGCGATTGCCGTATCAAAGCTTTCTCTCAAGAAGTTGCACAACGCCAGAGACATCTCGCCAGCTAGCCTCAATGACATTCCATATTCTGTTTTGCACGAGTATTGCTTCGCAATTTTTCAGCTTGCGATGGTGTTTGCAAAGAAGACCACCGTGATGGTGACAGAGCACATGCAGCATGCAACTGATAACTCGTAAGCGATACATCCAACAGCAGGTTTGCTTTGCGACGGGGCTTGGTTGACATCTGTTTCTCACATCTTGCAAAGACAAGCAGCAAGACCAGTCTTTGCGAACACCTTGGCGATTGCCGAGTCGAATCTACAGTTCTCATATCGTTGAAACTAGCATGAACCCGAGCCTGAAGATTTGCGCCGTATCTAGGTACAGCACGCAGGCAATGCCTAGACTCAAGCCCAATCCGCCTGCAACCCTCAGCCTTGCACATCCTCAACGAGGTGCTTCCATGCAGCCCGAGACACCCGCAAAAAGTTGATTTCAAAAGCAGGTCCTGGGCTTGCATTCTGCTGACCTCTTCCCGGCATCTCGGCTTTATTTAGCCCCACGTGTTGCAGCCTGGACTTTGCTTCAGCGATATAAAGGCCATCGCATCGCAACATGGTTGTTTCAGTAAGCTGGACCACTGTCTCAGTGAACTGGAACGCTTTTTCAGCGAACTGAACCGCTGTTTCAGTGAACTGGTCAGGTGCGTAGGGTAGGGTAGGGTAGGGAAGGCTAGAAGGTTGTGCGTGGTGGGGATTGGGTAGGCAGGTTTTGTAGGGAGGGTAGGCTCGGATAGGGTAGGGTGGGGTGTGGGTGGGTTTGTGTAGGGTATGAAGGGGTTGTGTAGGTGGGTTTTGTACGGTGGGTTGGTAGGGTCGGCTCGGGTAGGGAAGGATAGAGGGGAAGGGTGGGTTCGAATAGGTAGGGTAGGGTAGGGTAGGGTAGGGTGGATGGGGTTTTGTAGGTACAGGGTTGAGGTTTAGGGTAGGGTAGGGGAGTGTAGTTGGTTGTATTAGGTAGGTTTGGTAGGGTTGGGTGGGTAAGCTAGGGTAGGGAGGTTAGGGTAGGTGTTTGTGGGTGGACGAGGTTGTGTACGGTAGGGTAGGGTAGGGGTTACTTGGGGATGTGTAAGTTTTGAACGGGTAGGGCAGGGAAGGATAGGGTAGAGTAGGGAAGGGTAAGGGTTAATGGGGTTGGGTAGGTTTTGTAGGGATGGGGTAGGGCAGGGTGGGGTCGGGGAGGCTGGCTGGAGTTAGGGTAGGTGGTTGCGGATGGACGGGGTTGTGTAGGTTTTGCAGGGTATGTGGATAGGTTCGGTAGGGTTTGCATGGTCGAGTCGGGTAGGGAAGGATAAGTTAGAGTAGTGTGTAGGTCTTTAGGATAAGGGTAAGCCGCGTGGCTGGGGTTGTTTTTGTCGGGTAGGTAGGGTAGGGGAGGGTAGGTGCTTGTGACTGGGGAGGGTCTGTGGTTGCAGGTGGGATTGTGAGGGTAGGCTGAGCAGCGGGGTTGGGTAGGGTAGGTCGTTGTGGGTGGATGGGGTGGAAAGGGAAGGATAGGGCAGGTGGTTGCGGGTGGGGTTGTGTTGGTTATGCAGGCGAGGGTAGGGTAGAGCAGAGGAAGGGCAGGGCAGGGCAGGGGGTTGGGAATGGCAGGGTGGGGTGGAGGCAGGGTTGGAGGGTTCGGTGGGCTTTCACACAATTCGGTAGGATGGGAGGTGAGGAAGGCAGGTGGGACAGGAGGTGGTGTGGTTTGGGGTAGGTTAGTGTCGGGATAGGGGGGAGGGGCAGCGCAGGGTAGGGTTGCCAGGATGAGGCAGGGGTTGGTTGGGGGAGTTGGCAGGATGGGTCAAGGGTAGGTTCGGGCAGGTTGGGAGGGGGGAGGTTGGTTAGGGGAGGGTAGGGTAGAGTTGGCAGGATCGGGTTGGGTAGGTTTGGTAGGTCAGGGTAGGGCAGGGTAGGGTGTGAACTGTGAAGTGGGACTTGGTTCACTGAAATAGGTGGGCAGTTCACTGAAACAGCGGTCCCAGTTCACCGAAATCAGTTCACTGAATTTGCGGGTGTGCTCATCGCATCGGTGTAGCTGTTTGCACTGGTCGCAGCACTCTTGTTGCCAAGGTCACAAACTTGAGTTTCCCGGCATGGAAGGACAGCAAGTGGAGATGTCAAAGGTGACGGTGACAAGTAATAAAAGAGCAACTGTTCATTGTCCAGCATTTCAATCGAATCATGCATGTCCCAGGCTTGCTTTCGTGGGTCACATTGATCTTCTGTCCACGATGGCACCATTTGAAAGCTGTTGCTCTCGTTGGTCCCGTCATCAATGCCATTACCTACACGTCACTTGGTGGCATAGAGCACGAGATGTTCGTGTCGTAGCAGCATCCCGATAGCTCGGTTGAGATTTCGATGAGCTTCCGCTTCTTCATCTAATGTGAGGTTTGTCATCCTCTTCACTTTTTCACATCCGGATCCGAACGTTGTATCTGACATCACGAGCTTGGAGGGCATATCTACGGTGTTTCGCAACAGTGATGCCGTGTTTGCGGGCTGGTTGCACTACTGCGTCTTCGACCCATTGATCGGACTTGGCGAAGTTCTCGACAGCCAACAGACAGGTGTGCCACACTTGTTTGTGGTTCCATGTCTTCTGCTGACCATGTTTCTGGGTCCCATGGGCTTCCTCCTCTATCTTGCTGCGAGGGGGTTGACCATGTACGTAAAAGATGACGGATACACTGTACAGTAGTATGCGACGTGGCTCCATGAAAATTTAGCCAGAGGTGTTGTGCCACGCGCCCAAAGCTCTCTGCGTAGATGTTGAGTTCTACGATTTTATTCATGGTAAGGTTCGGTTTAGCCATAAATGTCTGCTGGACAGCTAATTCTGATGTTTTTGTTTCGAAGGCTTTGGGTTTCATCGGTTCAAACGCCCGATTCATGGAACTGGCGAAAAGTATATGTTGCTCTGGAAATACTAGCGATGCCTACGATTGTTAAAACTTTGTTTAAGCAGTCTAAAGGAAAAAGTTTTGATATTCTATGTGGGCTAGGCACTATTGTGCTTGTGCGCAAGTTTCTCCGTGTGTTCCCGCTAGTCTGCACAATTTTTCATTTTGAATCTGTTGTTGACAGGTTAGACAGGTATTAGTATGAATTGTTATCGTGGTGTTATTAACCCAGGAAAATTTGTATTAGTTTGAGTCGATTAAGTACGGCGAGCACGCCGCATTATTTGTCTAATCTTGATATCAATTTTTACGAAAGAAGACGATCGATTCTATTGATTAGTTGGCACTAGTCAAATGATTTTTATTTAATTCAACGAAACCGGAAATCCGTAGCATTACGTTTGCGTGCATGATTGCTAGACTATTTCAATGAAATTCTCGGAAATCTTCGTAGATATTTGCTCTATTTCTTTTCATACGAGGCTCTGAAGATATTTCTATGAAATTCTTTGAGAGTTTCATCTAATTTATTAGGAATTTCTCTGAAAATTTTATAGAATTAGCATCTATGAAGCTCTCAATAAATTTGGTCCACTTCAATAAATCTTCCATAAATGATCTCGATTATATAATTTATAGGGAAATAAGAAGAAAAATTGACTCTATTATTTACTTCGTAGGGAAATCGGTAGTGATTCGTCTTTTTATTTCTCTCTTTTTCTAATAAAGATAGAATTCTAAAAAAAA